TATATACTGATGTGTACTATATACTGATGTGTACTATATACTGGTGTGTACTATATACTGGTGTGTACTATATACTGGTGTATACTATATACTGATGTGTACTATATACTGGTGTGTACTATATACTGGTGTATACTATATACTGATGTGTACTATATACTGGTGTGTACTATATACTGATGTGTACTATATACTGGTGTGTACTATATACTGGTGTGTACTATATACTGGTATGTACTATATACTGGTGTATACTATATACTGGTATGTAATATATACAGGTGTGTAATATATACTGATGTGTACTATATACAGGTGTGTACTATATACTGGTGTGTACTATATACAGGTGTGTACTATATACAGATGTGTACTATATACAGAAGTGTACTATATACAGAAGTGTACTATATACAGAAGTGTACCCCACTCCGCTTTTTAAAGTGATATAATTTTGTTGGACTATCTGTTTGATCATTTGAATATGAATATTCTCCGTATTGCACTGGCACAAGTCATATTCAGATCCGTATCCGCGATTTAAGGGACAAAACTCGTTTCTACAATCACAAAGTCAGACCACAAGTAAATAATGAAGCTAATGTTTTATACTTATTTTATCTTATTTTGAAACTTTCACCCTAGCTATGAAGGAAATATATGGAGACCTATTGGGTGGATCGATGACGACAGTAGGATGTAATTTGGTTGTAAAACAGTTATAATCCATAAATAGAATGTATCAATGTTAGCCCCGAAGGAATTCAAGTTCAAGCCAAATAATATATGCGGTAGTGACGATATAATTTTTTCCCTGAATCCACAAGCGTCGGAATGGCAATGGACATGGTGCAAGGTAACTGTTAGGATATATCTAGCTAGAGTCGAGGTCTAGACAATCGAACAGACTGAAGAAAGTATTTACACATCTGTTCATTTCAACTTTCCTGGCATTTCGTCAGAACTAGGTGCTATCTCTCTATCTAAACTGTTTACAATGTTTCACTTTTTGTGCTGCCGTAATTACACAGTATATCTAGATCTTTACGGTTTCGTGACGTCATTACTACTGGTATTTGTTATTCGCTTGGACCATTAAATTTCGAAAGCAATTTGATTAATTTACTTGGAAAATAGTTTAGTTTTCCGAAACCAATGCAGTTTCTGCTAGAATAATAATCTGTAGGGTATAGTTCAGATTTCATTGGTTCCTGATTTGGAAAGAAGAATTAAAAAAAAACAAGAATAAAGACTAAAAATATATTATGAATAATTATTATTTTGTTCTAACATCGAAGTTTTATTGTACAAATATAATATTATGTCGAATAAATATTGCTCATTCCAAATCCTTTTTAAATACATATTGATACATATTGTTTTACATTGTCATATATATTGTTTTACATTGTCATACATGTTGTTTTACCTTGTCATACATATTGTTTTACCTTGTCATACATATTGTTTTACATTGTCATACATAGTGTTTTACCTTGTCATACATAGTGTTTTACCTTGTCATACATAGTGTTTTACCTTGTCATACATATTGTTTAACCTTGTCATACATATTGTTTTACCTTGTCATACATGTTGTTTAACCTTGTCATACATATTGTTTTACCTTGTCATACATAGTGTTTTACCTTGTCATACATAGTGTTTTACCTTGTCATACATATTGTTTTACCTTTTCATACATATTGTTTTACCTTGTCATACATGTTGTTTTACCTTGTCATACATAGTGTTTAACCTTGTCATACATATTGTTTCACCTTGTCATACATAGTGTTTTACCTTGTCATACATAGTGTTTTACCTTGTCATACATAGTGTTTTACCTTGTCATACATGTTGTTTTACCTTGTTATATATATTGTTTTACCTTGTCATACATGTTGTTTTACCTTGTTATATATATTGTTTTACCTTGTCATACATATTGTTTTACCTTGTCATACATATTGTTTTACCTTGTCATACATATTGTTTTACCTTGTCATACATGTTGTTTTACATTGTTATACATATTGTTTTACCTTGTTATATATATTGTTTTACCTTGTCATACATAGTGTTTTACCTTGTTATATATATTGTTTTACCTTGTCATACATATTGTTTTACCTTGCCATACATATTGTTTTACCTTGTCATACATGTTGTTTTACATTGTCATACATGTTGTTTTACATTGTCATACATAGTGTTTTACCTTGTTATATATATTGTTTTACCTTGTCATACATATTGTTTTACCTTGTCATACATATTGTTTTACCTTGTCATACATATTGTTTTACCTTGTCATACATATTGTTTTACCTTGTCATATATATTGTTTTACCTTGTCATACATATTGTTTTACCTTGTCATATATATTGTTTTACCTTGTCATACATATTGTTTTACCTTGTCATACATATTGTTTTATCTTGTCATATATAGTGTTTTACCTTGTCATACATATTTTTTACCTTGTCATATATAGTGTTTAACCTTGCCATACATATTGTTTAACCTTGTCATACATAGTGTTTAACCTTGTCATACATAGTGTTTATCTTGTCATATATAGTGTTTAACCTTGCCATACATATTGTTTTATCTTGTCATAATATATTGTTTAACCTTGTCATACATGTTGTTTTATATAGTCATATAGTCATAAATATGTGACTTTTCTGAAGATCGCATAGCGTGAACACTGAGTAACAACATGTTTCAGGTTCTGAAAGGCGACTATATGCCTTATACATATCAATAACATAACTAACAATTGTATATATATATAATAATATAATGCATAGAAAAAAGCACCAAGAGTTATTGCACTTGATTTCACATATAATACTGTGTAAAATATAAAAACAGAACTTAAAAAGGTTTTCTAGTCTTTGTATGTGTACTGGCTATGTTAGTGGTAGCGGTGGGGGATGTTGATGGGGGAGTCTCATTGCTTCTATTTGAACCATTCCAAGTTGTTTATCTGACAAATCGTCAAAAACTCAACTCGATAATTAATAAGATAATGACCAATATATAATATGGATATTTATGTAATTAGTGACTTCATAATCTGATCAGTCAAAAAGAATCTAAAAGTATCTCCAAAACATATACAAAGGCTAGAAAATCTGGTTTAAATCGCTTTATTTTGACTAGATGTACCTTTACAGGCTTTTTTCGATGAAATTTATTTCACCGAATTAACAAATCCTTATAAAAACTATACACAGCACAATAAAGTTAAAAATTTAAAAAAAAAATTGATATTAACAATGGTATAAAATAGGCTAGGCACTTTCTAATAATTGGTCTGATACTTGCTGACTCTTTCTTAGTCTTTGAATTGTTATTTTAGATTGTTACCTATGAAATGTGTTAGCTATGTGGACTCTCTGAAAAGTATGTCAAGTTGACAAACCTAAACACCAAAATTCAAATTATTAGCTATGTGGACTCTCCGAAAGGGATGTCAAATTAACAAACCTAAATACCAAATAAACATTATTAGCTATGTGGACTCTCTGAAAGAGATGTCGAGCTGACAAACCTAAATACCAAATAAACATTATTAGCTTTATGGACTCTCTAAAACGTATGTAGAGTTCTTAAATCTTAAAATCTTAAAACCAAATAAACATTCTTAACTATCGGGACTCGTTGACAAAAACAATATTTGCTTTGTGGACTCTCTGCAAGGGATATCGAGTTGACAAACCTAGTAACAGAGCGTCATCAGGTGTTTGATAAGAGTAAGCATGTATGAACAGGTGGTGAGTATCAGAAACTAAGTAAAAGTCAGCAAGTTTTAGACTTTCTAACAATATAATACTAATATTACATAAACATAACACTCTACTTCCAATCTAAATCATTCATGCATTGCTTCTTACTAAAGCTGTAGCGAATAGACGCAGTGTACAGTGTACGGTGTGGTGTACGGTACGGTGTACGGTACGGTGTACGGTGTACGGTGTACGGTACGGTGTACGGTACGGTGTACGGTGTACGGTGTACGGTGTACGGTGTACGGTACGGTGTACGGTGTACGGTGTACGGGTGTACGGTGTACGGTGTACGGTGTACGGTGTACGGTACGGTGTACGGTACGGTGTACGGTGTACTGTACAGTGTGATGTACGATGTACGGTTTGATATTATCGATACGGTAAAATATAGATGTGAATACACGAGGTATGAGGTTTGGACACGAATTGCTCCTACTATTTCTTACTGTACAGATAATCCTGCACGGTACACCACACCAGACAATGTACATGGTCTATTTGCAACTTCAAAACTTACACACTGATTTGTTTTATTCAATGGTCTCAATTGAAGCTTTATTTTCATTTTTTTACGCATTATTGTTTCTGTATTGTTTATTTAGAACTGAAATATATATCTTTTCTATTGAAAAATCTTGTAAACCAGAAACATTCAAAAATATCATAATTGTAGTCTCTAGCAAAATTGAAATGATCAAACTAGGCTAATAATAATATGTACTTATAATTGGACCTACCCAGTACTATTAATATACAACAGAATCCTTGTATAATCTGATAAATCCATAAAACATAGTAATTATTGAAAAAAGATAATAAGCGATTTTAAATAATTACGCTGCAATATCGCATTATCTAATTATACAGAGATTCTGAAGACACCTGGTAAGTCCAACTGATGAAAATAAACTCTTCTTAACCAAGTTTGAGACTTTAAATTTTATATCTATTCTAAGGTGTAGTATCTCTTAAAAAAAATTAAATCTTTAAAACCCCAAAATAATAACAATGTTGTTGAAGATCCTGGTGATGTTTATACTGTTATACACTTTTCGTCTGTAATATCAAAAACAAGATCAATAAATTAATATCAGGTTTTCATATTCAAAGCTTGGGTTGAGACAATCTAATTAAAATTAGGTTACAAGTTCATTTCCTTATTATTTATCGCCGATCTACAATGGAGACCAACCAAAAAATAATGACGAAACGATATTGTAATCTAATTTTGATAAGATTGGGGTTCAATGGAACTTGGCCCAAATGTTTTGCTAATAATTTTACAAGTATAACAACTTATGTCTTTCCAGTGAGACAACAACTTGATTTGAGTATGAATAATCGATAGGAAATAGAACTCCAATGCTGATAATCGCTGGCTTCAACCACTGCCTAGAAAGAAACTCACAGAGGAAGCTTAGTTTTAGGAATGGCTGTAAAGGGGTTTAACAGAAGTTTGCAGAAGAAAGACTGTGGGGCTGGGTATATAAACCCCTGCCCTGACAGAACGTTTCAGAATAGAATAAAGATGGGCTGGGTTCTAAGAAAGACTGTGGGGAGGGGTAAAGGGGGATAACCCTGTTTAAAAAAGAAAAGTGATAAAACATTACGATATTATGTTAGTTTAAAGATTAAAATTATATTAATAAAGACTAGAATAGTAGACTGACTTGATAATAAAAATAAAAAAATAAAATGAAAAAACTTGTGAAAGTTAAAGATAGAAGAAAAGGGGTCAAACAAAATTGAAATGGGTTAAAGACAACATAAAAAGGTTTTAGCTGTTTGAGGGTTAACACAAGAAAAATTAATTTATGGCACTAAAGTTAATTGCATGGAAAATATCAACATTAGGCTTCTCGTTAGATGGTTTACTACAGAAATTAAATGAATTTCTTTCGATTTGTAGGTAATTCTAAACCAATATAACTGGTTGTTTGGTCATGAAAATCAGACCATGATATTTTCGTCCAACTTGACGGAGCCAAAAACAAAACTTGACGAGAAACAATCATTTGTAAGTAGATTACAACTTAAATTTTTGAGGATCCTGTCAACCAGTCTGGTAAACCTCTAGCCAATGATTTTTCAAAATTATCTGAACCCATGTACAGCTGGCTTGACTGGAATAATTAAGAAAAATGACTTATATACGTTCATCTGAAGTGCGCCAAATATCAAAACATTTTAACAGATGCGAGATTCAAATTTAGGTTAACCATGTTCCTGTCGACCTATCACCAGATCAGTGACCAATTCTACTTGGCAATTATTTTATGTACGAATTGACTTGGAATATATATATCCGTACAAGTAAGATAATTCCGTTAATCAAACTCTCGTCCAAAGAATGGAAAAATCGAGAGTAAAAATTGTACAGTAGTGGACTCCTCCAAAGAAAAGTACCCTCGGGTGTTTCTAAAAAGAGTAAGCATGCTCCGCTGCGCACCCACCACTACTATAGAATAATAATGATTCTAGATGGTTTGTTTTATTCTGTTAGAAGCCTAATATTAACAGTGAGTGGAAAACAACAAGGGAACAGCGAGGGAAGATAACATGCTTTAAGATAGATTAGAAACACCAACTTCACAGCTTACAATAAATTACTCGTACTATTAAAGGGATATGTTCATTTAGCTATTCACTTCACCAGCTGATAGAGCTTTATTTTAGTTACCTGTATCACTTTCCAGAAATAAAATCCAGTGCCTCGTTTGTCTGTTTTAAAAAGTGACTGTGACAAAGATAGTTATAAACTAATAAGGCTACCTTATAACAAGTTCTGTCAGCTGATGTAGCCAATAATCAAATGTTTTTATCGCTTTACCACTGATCACATTAAATAAAACTTTCACAAATATCTTTCAAAAACTCAAGCGAAGTGGAACTTTGGAAATAACTTGTTCAAAGTCACAGACTTGGAAGTCAAATAATCAATTTCATTTGAAAAAACTCGAACAAATTTGAAACTTTGGAAACAAAATTTTGAAAATTGTTACAATATATTCAACCAGTCAAGCCTGACAGTTGATGGGCGGGAGTTTTTGAAGTTTTGAAAACCCTATGTTGGTGCTATAGAAAGATATTTTGTTGAAGTTTGAACAATGAAAGCTCTAGATATAGCAGCAGTTTGATATAAAATCAGAATTTACCAAGTTAGGAATATTTTCTCCAAGTATGAACCTCTGAAAAAACAGTAACATGTCACAATTCACAATATCAAAAATATATTATATTATTTTCACATCTGACATGTAAACCATCTGACATGTAAACCATCTGACATGTAAACAATCTGACATGTAAACAATTCATTTATTGAAGTTAAAATCTATATTTGATAATAAATATTCACAGCATCATCAAAAATAATTTTTAATTCCGGCATTTTCTAATTTAACGTTTTCTTGGTAAGAAATATCTGATACCAAACAGTGGCGGATCCCCGAAAGCAAGTTTTTCGGGTAAAAATCTCATAACTAGTTTAAAGATTTTCAGATATCTCAGATCTGATTTTCAGATATATTATAATATTTAATTCCGACGTTTATTAATTTTTTTATTTAAAGTATGAAATATGTCTGATAATAAACTTGTATTTTGCCTGTCGTGTCTGATTAAATCTCCTGAATGTCAGGGTAAAATTTTAGT